CGGGGTATGGGGGATCCACTCTGCACAAGGGGAACGGTGCCCCCGCTGGCTGGGTGGGGGATCTAGTCTGGGCAGGAGGGGCGCTGCCCCCTGCTGGAGAGGTGGGTGGGGGGATCCAGTTTGGGGAGGGGGAGCGGTGCCCCCTCCTGGTGGGGTTGGTGGGATCCAGTCTGGGTAGGGTAAGTGGTGCCCCCGATGTTGTGGGTGGGGGTTGGGAACAACTGTTCTTTGATATCCGAGCCACTGAGCCTATCTGCCCCCTGCTGTCCATCTCTGAAGGCTGGACTCTTACCGTGCAGGTGGATGCATTGCTTGCTGACAGCAAGGAGAGGGGGGCCCTAGACCCTGTGAAAAGGAAGTACCTTTTTCAGAGGTAATTAACCCTAACAGTACACACTGCATAGAGGCGAAGCGCACTGCTATATCTGAAATCTAGGATGCGGGGGTAACATTTGTGTGATGCACTATTAGCTATCTCATGACTAAGCAATTTATCACTGAGCGATAACTGCAGCTGGTTTTGATAGAAATTTTCCTAATCAATTTCGCTGATAAATTCATCTTCAGTGATGTGGAGGGATGCCCATATAAATGAATTATTGGGTGGCAGAGTAGACTAGTGGGCTGGGAGCCAGGAGACATGGGTTTTAGTCCCAGTTCTGCCACTGACCTCCTATGCAGCCTTGGTCAAGCTGTTTCACCTTTCTGTTCCTCTTTTCCCCACCCGTAAAATGAGGATAATATACTGTCCTTCCTATGTACCTTTCCTTTGCTTTGGACTCCCAAGTCAGGCAATGGATTGGAAAGGGTAAAATATGAGAGGTTGATGTTAACTCTCGCACACTGCACATATGCGTAAACAAAAATATTATACGCATTTAGGTCCTGTCCTGCAAACTGTTACACATGTGCTTAACTTTACTACAGTGGGTAGTCCCACTGAAATCAATAGGACTACTTTGAGCAAAATGAAGCACATACAAATGCAGAAGTATTTGCAGGATCAGGGATTCAGTGGATTAATTAGTACTTAACCGTGTGCACTATTAGTGGACACCTATGGTACTACATAAATAATAAAGGACTTAAAAATGGCATATTATATGTGTATGAGTGAGTTAAGGCTGCCCCATGAATCTTAGATTTTTAATATTTTACTTCTTGCGTGTGAACTAATATTATACTAGAAGCCTTTTACATTTAATTTTCGGTTAAAAATAAATACAGAAGAGAATCCACCTATGTATGATATAGTACAGCTGGGTTTGACGTTTTTACCTTGTGTGTGCTGATAAACCACCTAGTTGCAGTACTGTGCAGATCACATTCTGCATCAGTGCAATTCTGCCAATTATATAGCTTCAAACTTACTATAAAGTTTTTCTACACATCCACAGAACCATTTTTTTTCTTTAAAACTGTGTCATTTTGAAAGAAACCTATTCAACTCTCTGCACCAGAAAGCGTCATTGAGAACTATTTACATATGCAGTGAAGATTCAAAATCAGCCTTTTAGAAATGAACAGGTCTCAAAAAGGTCTTATGCTACTTAACTTTAAAAATATTTTTTTATGCTCAGAGAATGTGATAATTGCTGGATAGAATTTCTGCTGTAAAGGCTGTAGCTCAAGCATAAGGTTATTCCTTATTATTTAACAGAGCAAGGCCCCAATCTTGTTGTGTGGGGCCCAGGCAGATTGCTGCACCTGCATGAGCCCCATGGGAGTCAGCAGGGTTCAGTGCAGGTGCAAATAGTTGGCTTGTGTGCTACACAGTGCAGAATTGGGGCCTACACTTCCAGTGCACCCTTCAGTAAAATATGAGATAAAATATTTGTTAAATGAGTACATTTGCTCAGGACAGAATCAAAATTTTTTTAATAATACAATGAGACCCCTTTAAACACTTTTATTTTGATGTGCTAAACTGATGTCTTTTTCACAGGTTTATACTGTGCAAGAGAAAACAACAAGTTTGAAATTGATAGTATGATAGTGTTCTATTTGTGGTGGTTAGCCCTGGCAGGCATAGTATATCTTCTGTGCAGTGGATTGACCACTTTGCTCGGAGAAAAAGCAGCACAAAACTGTAGCAGAGAAATGTAGCTCTGTTCATAGGAAAGAGAGCTTGAGTAAATGAATTTCACATGTATTGCAATATCATGGGCTGAGTCCAGCCATCATTTCTCCCTCTCGTCATAATGCAGTTCTTGTGGAAATTATTCCAGCCAAAGTTCTGAAGCACCTCCATGTGTGGCTCCATTGTGTGGAAAAAGACATATGGATGCCATGTGGCTTGCTCTCCTTTAAAAAAAATTTTTTTTTAAGTTGTAATCTCTTTCTTTTTGTGTGTCAGATGATGTTGGCTTTAGCCTACCACGAGGCAAATACTAGTTTCTTCTTATGCTATTATTTACATAGCACCATAGATGCAGACAGAGAATTTAGGAAGGCAAAGTTCCTGTTCTAAGGACCTTAAAATCTACGGTCCTGATCCTGGATGAATCCAGGTCCTTGCACCTGTGAAAAGCTCCTTTGCCTATGGTCTTGCAAACACTTACATGCTTAACTTTGTGCACTTGAGTAGCCCTATTGACTTCAGTGGGACTATTCATGTTTGTAAAGTTACATATGTACATAAGTGTTTTCAGGATCGGGGGCTAACTTACATGTTTCAGAAATTGTACACAGTTTTAGTCATTTATACAGCAGAAGAGATCGTACAACCTTTGTCATTTGTTTTCAATATAGATGTATGGAGTTGAAGAAATCAGTGGATGAAAATACATCTGTTCTTCAAAACTTGAAAAAAGTAAGTGGTGAGGTTAAAGCATTTCCTAATTTCCCAAAATAAATTGTACGGAATGTTCAGAGAACGGTAATATTCTTAGATTGTAAATTCTTCAGGACAGGCACCATCCCTAACTTTTTGTATAGCAGCTAGTCTGTCTGGGCTCTGATCTTGACTGAGGTCCTTTGGGATTAGTCTAATATTAAATAATGATATATTTTTCTGCATGCCTTATAATGTAAAGTTCTGTGGTTGAAGAGTTTTTTAGCATTGTTTAATATTCCAGTGGGTTTTTTTAATAGGAAAAAAAATCATGGAATTGAAGAATAAGAATATAGATTTTCACCCCCCTCTTGGCTAGATAAAAGATCTAGAAAAATGTTAAGGAAACTGTATAGTAATAGATTTCAGGACTGATATTATCTAAACAGGAAATGGGAAAATGGCCATCCCCGTGCTTAGTTACTTAAATGATATCAAGGCAAGAAGCTAGAACATATTGATCAAACAAGATGTTAAAAGTAGCTGAGAGCGCTAAGGCCTGAATGCGTTTAATCCTAATACTCCTCCTTCTCCACCCCCTTCCGCTGCCCACCTCTGGCTGTTTTATGTTAACTCACCGGAGGGCCTGATCCGGTCCGTGGCCTCTGGGCACGCCTACTGGATCAGGCCCTGCATATGACTTAGGTGGCTGCATAGTTATCGTCCCTGGTTTGTGAATTGCTCTGGGGCTCAGGCAGAAGACAGGTGCCCAGATGCTTAGAGGGAGGCAGTACTGCACAAGCCCAGAGGTGGAAACGTAGGTACCTAGGGAACTTTTACTGCAGAAACTTAGGTGCTGAGTGAATTTAGGCACCTGCAGGATTTGGCGGTGGTTGTGCATTGCAGTGGTGCCAAAACAAGTATTTTGCTGCCTAACTCCATTTGTGCATTCTGGCATAAATGATTAGCAAACACAATTTAGCTGAGGGTTTAGCTTCATTTGACTCTTCAACAGTTTGGTGTATTCTTCTTTCTTAGACTGATGAGCCTGCACCTGTGGGGAATTATAATCAGAGAAAAGAGGAGGAAGAAAAACAATTGTTAAAACTCTCTCAGCAGCTCCAGAAACTTGCTGCAGTCCTGAGTCAGGACAATGTGACCAAGGGTTACACTGTGTAAGTAGTATAAACAGGCAAATACATTTTAATTCGCCTATTGTTAAGAAATAGTAGGAAACAGGTGGCTTATAAAAATATATTCATTTGTACAGCTGAAACAGACTCATTCTTGTATGAGAGGAGCTGAAGATAAAATACCAAAAAATTCCATATAAACTGTTCTGAAATGTGGTCACTGTAGCATTCATATCCTTTCCATTTTTGTCTTTTTATAGTATGTCCCTTCCAGACATTGAAGCATGGGCCACTGCTCACCTATTTCCTCAGAGAAAACCTTTCTTCTCTATGCCCCAAACGTTCTAGCACCAAGAACAAAGAGGCACCAGTGGAGGCACAAGTTGCTGTGCCATGGGAAGGAGGTTTCTCTGGGGTCCCTGGAGGCTGGAGCCCTCTTTGCACTCAGGGAAAATTGAGGCTCAAGAATGTGGGGTCAGAAAAATAAACCAAAACGTAAAAGGGGCCAGACCTGACTGAAAGGCAGGGAGAGGCACATAAAAGAATACCGTCAGCAGGTAGGCACTGCACAGGCTGAAGAGCCAGAATGGTGGCTGAAGATGCACAGCTCCCGTGGGGAACAGTTTTGTTGACTGCAGACAAGAAGGATCTGACTAGAAGATTCCAAGGGTTGTGGTTAGGTCCAAAATAGAATGTAACCATCAGGGGTTGGGAAAGGGCGTTTATCTTCTGGACTGAAACCCCTGGCCATAGGGACCACCGCACACCTTTAGAGTTTGGGAATTTCTGCCTCTTGTGCTAGGAAGCTGAGACCCAGGAATGAGAACCCTGCTGCAAGGTAACTTCAGAAATGCTAAATGACAAGGAAAGTAATTCTCATTCATATTCTGTAGAATAATCTGGAGATGATCCATTAAAATAAGAAATTGTGGTAAACGTGAGGTATCGTTTGTCTTGTGCAGAGATGGGAAATGTCAAAATAGTCCTCCAACAGAACAGGAAAATGATGAAGAGGAGGATGAGGATGAAGAAAGTAGTGGGGAAGAAGATGCTGAAGAGGAGGAGGATGAAGAAGAGGATGATGATGATGAATTGGAAGATCAACCAACAATTAAAGAATGTATCACGGTTGGTGATTTTGTTGCTCAGCAGGAAGGGGATCTCACGTTTAAGGTACATATATCTTTGAAAATATTATAAAATGTGTTTGAACACATACTGCATCCTCTGAATATCAAATGACTGTGTGTATTGACGGCTCAGAACTCTGATTAAAAAAATGAATGCAAATCCACTGCTCTCTCCAGTCCCTCCTTTCCAATTGCCCAGCTCTTCTTCTAGACCGGGGGTTCTCAAACAGGGTCGTGACCCCTCGGGGGGTCTCAAGCTGTCAGCCTCCACCCCAAGCCCTGCTTCGCCTCCAGCATTTATAATGGTGTTAAATATTTTAAAAGTGTTTTTAATTTATAAGGGGGAATCTCACTCAGAGGCCTGCTGTGTGAAAGGGGTCAACAGTACAGAAGTTTGAGAACCACTGTTCTAGACATGCCATCTTGTCAGACTATCCTGTCTATACAAAATAGTGCTTCGGGAGTAATCCTCGTATCCAGCTGCTCTGACCATATCCAGTTCCCTGCACTTGCTGCTTATTTTTTTTCCACATCAAATTCACATCTTCAGATCTCTACATAAATCTCAGCCCTTCCTATGTCCCTCTTAATTCTCTTTCTTTGTTGCTCCCTTTGTTTCCTTTTCCAACTCTTGCCGTTGAGCCTTTCATGTTCCCTTAAACTTGGGGTAGCCTCTTATTTTTATCCACTGAGCATTCCTCCATACTCCTTTAATATCCATTTTCCCATGAATCCATTCTACACTGGTCTTAACAAAGACTCACCCAAACCTCCATTATGTGATGTTCTATCTTAGATTGTGAACTATATGGGGATGGGCTGTATCTTATCTTTGTTAAAGAGCAGTGCCTGTGTGTGTGTGTGCGCTTCAAAAATGGTTAGTAATTTCTGGTTGGAAATGTTGTGATAAAGCTTTTTCAGGCTACTGTTTGGAGCAAAGCAGTCAAGAAAACTCCTTGCAGATGCACACTTAACAGTGAAATCAGTCCGTGCTTTTAAAAACTCTTTAACAAACTGGAGAATGCCAAAGCACGAACTAGCATGGTGGGGCTATGAGCTGCCATGTGGCACATGGGTGTTTGGGCCTTGGTCTCTTGTTTCTGGCCATTTGAGTGTGAAGAACCATCTAGCAACCACTCCTTTTGATTCAGGAGCATATTTGATAGATGAGCTCTGAAAGGAGCCTTTGTGGCTGGAATCTGTAAGGTTAAGTACACCTCTACCCCGATATAACACTGTCCTCGGGGGCCAAAAAATCTTACCGCGTTATAGGTGAAACCGCGTTATATCGAACTTGCTTTGATCCGCCGGAGTGCGCAGCCCCGCTCACCCGGAGCACTTCTTTACCGCATTATATCCAAATTCGTGTTATATCGTGTCGCCTTATATTGGGGTAGAGGTGTATCTTTGTTTACATTTCCCCAAAGTCTACTGTGCCTTCAAGAGCGGCTGAGCAAGAGGAAACCTTGGAGGCATATCTGAATGCTTGGCCTGTAACTCTACTGAAATGCCTTCTAAGTTTTGTTCCTTATTTAAAAATAAAGTTGAGCTTTTACCACCATTGGATATCAGGAAAAAGTAAACTAGTTCACTAAAACTGCAGATGTTTCAAAGAATTCATGATAAACCAGAGTATGAAATCATCAGGGTAAACCAGTCCTAGATAAATATTAGATTTAAGAACGAATTAAAAGGCAGTTGCATTTTATTCTAAAAGACAGAATGTGGCCGACAGTTGTTCCATGAGTAATTTTTAAACATCTGAATATCAATGCATTTGTCTCTTTTCTTCTCTCTCTCCGCCCGCCCTGCATTACTGAAGAAAGATGAAGTGTTGCTCATACTTGACAAAAAGCCTGATGGTTGGTGGATGGCTAAAAATTCCAAAGGGGAGAGAGGCCTTGTTCCTAAAACCTATCTCATGGTTAGTATGCTTCCATCTTCTTCCTTTGTATTTGTACATCAGAGATATGATGGGTGAGAGTGTATAAAGCTACAGATGGTTAGCAAAGCATTTTTTTCTCACTTCACAAGGATAAATTATATTGCTGTTAATTTTTTGTAAACAAAAGCGGAACCCTTGAAACGTGAGCTTTGACATAGTAGTGCTATAGAGTAATTCATATTCTGAGCTTAAAGAACACTTTCAAAAGCTCCTTTTAACTTTGTGCCAAAGTTTTTGTGCCCCATGAAACTTATTTAGGTGCATACATGGCATTTGTGCACTTAAATTGGGTAGATGTCTAATGAGAAAACATGATGCACACATTTGCGTTTAGATAACCCACTTGGGTAGATTGAGTCCTGTCCGGAAGTCTGACATTTTATAGTCTGATGCTATTCACGTGTGGAGCTCTTTTTTTAGTA